GTTTAAATATTTTAATTGCAGCATAATTTGGTACTATTAACTTTTGAGAGAAATGGTGAGGCATTAGATCATCAAGTTAAACAGTTGCACCACCTTATAATCATGTCGACTACTCAAAACCCTTATAATTTATAAGACTGGCATCCATACTGAATTTAGCGCAAGTACTTCATGATAAATCTGTAAAAAAATTGGAATTGTTGGCTGCAGCAAGCTGTTTATTTTGGATTATATAGGCATGTGCAAGGTGTACAATTTCTAAGACAATGGAAGTCAATTAATGCAAGGGGTGGCTAACTTACTTATTTACGATCATATGAATGTATGTCATGTGCAAATCAATAGATTAATTTTAAAGAAAATAACAAACGGCGTCCCTTTCTTCCATAGGAGAGAATTATAAGACCAGTGTGTCACCTGAGAAATTTTTAGAATTATACAAATATCGTGAAATGATAGAAAAATTTGTATATTATTTTGATCGGGGTCAAACTCTTATATATCAATATGATTTTCAGTATGATTATGATTTTCAGTATTATAATCAGTATGATTATGATTTTCAGGATAATAATGATTTTCAGTATCATTTACAGTATGGTTATGATTTTCAGTATAATTATGATTTTCAGTATGATTTTCAGTATGATTATGATTTTCAGTATGATTTTCAGTATGATTACGATTTTGAGTATGATTATAAATAATTTTCAGTATGATTACGATTTTAAGTGTTATTATGATTTTCAGTATCATTTTTAGTATGATTATTATGATGATTATGATTATAATTATGATTATAAAAAATTCCTTAGCAATGTAAAAAAAATTCCTTAGCAACATAAAAAATTCCTTAGCAACGTGAAAAGATCATTTGCAACATAAAAAATTCTTTATCAACGTTAAAAAATTCCTTAGTCAAGTTAAACAAATTCCTTAGCAACATTAAGTTTAAGTATATTCTTCGGTCGCAGCAAGCAAACACTTATTTCATTCTGTTTAATACAATAGCCAATAAAGTAGTGAGTTACCAATTACATGGATTTGTAATATAAGCATTAGGTACAAATGCATGCAGGTATGAGGGAAAATTTCGGATGTATGTATGAACAAATTGTGTTGCGCATTTAGCTTATTTTAATAGGTAATAGTATGACAAGCAAAATTTACGTACATCCTTCGCTTTCTTTCTTGCCATTATAGTAAGTACTGCAAATATTCCCGCACTGAAAGCAAAAACCTTAGGTACAAAATTTTTGAATATTATGATGCATAAAATACAAAACTGTTTAATATTTACATTAGACAGTTTGCAGTAAATTACTTCAATCATAAATAGGCATGCAGTACTCAACAAAATCTGCGAGAAGATTTTGAAAATTTGTGCAATATTTCCATCTAGGCTTAATGCAGCTGGCTCAATTTCTTTCACATTAGAGCGATTCTGCAGTTTTCCTGCCATCTCTTGAAACCACATCCACTTCTTCGCAATACCAGAGTGATGCAGTGCCTTCATTCTAACTGGAATTCTTGGATCAACAACATTTTCAAGAACCCAACCGGTCGGTATCACTCCCACAAGTTCCTTCCCAATACTGAATTCCGGGCCCGGTCGATACTTTTCCAAATAAGCTTTCGCCTCTTGTAACTTTTCCATTGAGCCGAGATATGCCATTTTCTCAGATGCACAAGAAAATCCACTAGAATTTGTAATAATTTGGCGAGGATAGTTCCACCAGATGTTGGTTTCAGGTCTTACATGAGAATGATCCAAATGGACATTCCCCTTTACCAAGTGGTGATATACCTTGGATGATATCGCAGTAGAAGATGTATCAATATTGGACAGTGCAAGATAATTTGCCGGGTACCATCCAGCAGCCTGCCCTTGCAGTGCTTTTTGGGTCAGGTAACTAATCACTTCGTCGACAAAAGTAAACCCATTTTCAATTAGTTGGTCAAAATTCCCATAAGGGAGAATACGAATAGGTGAGATTGTATTTTGCACGTTATCACCACGGGATAAGGTTGTGATAATAACTGTCATTAGAAGGAACGACCCGCAAACAAAGTAGATGTGCTTTTCCTTTTTTGAATTTCTCGTAATTGAGGAACCTTGTTCGAGGAAAATGTTATATCCCATCGCTAATATGTCTAGTTTTGACAGCTTAGATTTTGAAGTCGAGATTAGGAATATACCAACAAAAATTGAAGTGCCTATAAAAACAATCCACATGGGCCATGAAAATACATGTATCAGATTTTCTAGCGTTGTTTTCGGAATTCGTTTCTGTGAACAACTTAGGAAACCATAAGGACGCAAACTCGTTACAAGTTGTATCCTAAATTTGGCAATCATGTTAATTGTAGGATGTTTAATCTGGTAGGATAAGCATTGGTTTTGCAACAATGTACTATTAGGTAGAATATGAGGTTCCGTTTGGAAGGATAGAGAATAACCTGTGCCAAATTGGGCGGAGACGTTACCTGCCAAAATCAGATTTACCAGTATACCATCAATGTTCACGTCATCACGTCCGATTTCGGAAAATTTCGTAGTTCCGTATTTTAAGTATTTCCAATCTCCACGTGTAGCCCAAGGGGTTTTGTCGCCCATTATATTAAACCCCTTCGCTACGTTTTCCAGTTGTACCTCCTCAAATTTTTGAACGTCAATATCATAACAAACCTGAAAACAACCATGGCAATATCTACAGCAAAACTGGAAATTTGATATGATACTGTTGTCTACCAACATGAGTAACATATTAAGGCCAGAATTTTCATTCAACAAGGCTAGCATTTCATTGGCCCACAAGTTGAAGTTACTACCAGTTCCTTGCAACAAAACGTGATACCCTATCCGATAGTAAGGTATCATCAGTCCCTCATTTGAGGAGAACCGTTCCTCGTAGGGATCGGGAGGAAGAACACCTGCAAGTCGATTGGTTGGTGGTAAGATGTAGAATCGCGTCAAACATTTCCATCCGCGTTGTTGGCCTACGTTTTTTCTTAGAGGTATCTCAGTAGTTGCCTTGAATGAGACGCACGAAGGAAATCCTGAGTTGCTAAAGTGGTCGATTGGAAAAATTTTATACATTATTGGAGGCCGTTGAGTAAAAGCAGTCGAAAATAGGCATAAGCCTATTTTGTATCTCGTGGTCCAAATGGGTACTGATATTGAGGATGGAATATTAATGCCTTCGTAATTGATAATATTTATAACGCAGCCAGAAAATATGTTTATGTAGTTAGCAGGGTATTCCGACCCAGGGTTTTATTGGGTTGGGGTTTTTGGGTTTTAATGGGTTTTAATGGGTTGTTAATGAATAAAACCCATTGAGTTTTACCATGTTAAATGGGTTTTATTTGGGTTTTAATGGGTTTTATTCGGGTTTTAATGGGTTTTATTCGGGTTTTAATGGGTTTTAACTGTGTTTCAGCTTAAAACTAGATTCTAAAAGCTGAAAACAGCTGTCATACGTTAGACGAAGTTGATGGTAGCTGAGCAGTATATTTGATTAATACTGTAAGTTTTGAAAACCAGGAATAAATCAGCGAGTGCCATTACAGGTTTCAAGTGACAAAAAATATAAAAATAATAATTTCGGAACGAGGTATGTTTAACTGAGCATACATAATTTAATTACATTTAATTTACATTTTGCTGTCATAATTAATACTTTTTCCCGAATACTTCCTCTCATCTCAGCGAATAAATTAAACAAAATACTATATTATTTTTTTAATTTATAAAGTTTTTTAAAATGTTTCAAGGCGATCTTAATTATCACCTCTGGAAAAATCGAGTACTTATGGACAGCGAAGTACTTTATTATGAGCAAAAGAAGTGTGTCTGTAAAAAGCACTTATTATATTCTCGATCATAATACATACGTACTTTCATTGTTCATACTCGATTAGTACTCGATTTTTTCCAGAATTGATAATACACGTTAAGATCGCATTGAAATATTAAAGTTTAAAAACTTTTAAACAACTTGGATTTCATTATGATGAGAGGAAATATTCGAAATATATTCTCATAAAGTATTAAACTATGACCAGTTAAACAGGACTATTTCGAAACGGATACAAATTCTAACATGGACAAGTAGGATTTGCATATTAATTGAAATTGGATTGCAATAGAGTGAAAATTGTTGTTCAATGTGTTACTTATGTAAAACCTAATAAAACTAAATAAAACCCATCAAACCCATTAAAACCCAAAAAACCCATTAAAACCCATTAAAACCCCTGGGTCGTTACTTTTTGATTAAAACCCTGGGTTTTTCCGAACCCTGATCTTACGTTTTCCCCGAACGAATTAGTAGTGCTATGAATAGTCACATTACGATACGTAGATATCGAGGTAATCACGGCTTTTAGAAGGATATACTCTACCGGGACACAACGCTGGTGATGATACTTTCTAATTTCTTTGATTAAAACCCTGGGTTTTTCCGAACCCTGGCTAACTACTAGTTAGCTAAGTTAAAAATCTCCATAGCGTAGCAGCTTGTTAGGAATGACACCCCAAATTTAATAAGTTTTATACAAGAATTACATGTACCTCAAACTGTACGTATCCATGCCTTGATGTACAATAGAAGGGAAGTTTAAACAAAATATCCCAGTCTGGTTTTAGATTAATTAAAACTGTCGTGTCTGATTCGCGTGTTCCTATTTGGGTAAGTACTTTGACAATAAATATGTTGCGTAGTGTAATCTGCACAGATACACTCTTAGAAACTGGGTATTGATCCTTGAAAAATTTTAATACCGTCGTGCTGGTATAATCACGCAGTCACGATTCGGTATTAAAATATTTCGAAAAATCAATACCACGAGCTTGTACGTGGAGAGTATTAACTTGTAATACCGAGTTGGTAAAACATCAATACAGATTTTATACCACGTTTACCCAGTCTCAAGTGTGTCCGGTATAGACTTGTGCGCGAGATTTAGAAACTACTCACTTGCAGTTGCAAATCGTTCTCTTTTTAAAACATAAAAGTAAGTGCTAAATTAAGTAGTTCGGCTGGTGAATTATTTGGGGGGGGGATTGATTACATCAGATGGAAACTTTGACACGTTCTTATTAAAGGGTAAGCTTACATAAATTTATTTATCTTTTTGGTTTACCTTTTGGTACATAGGTATTCCATAAAATTTTGTTATTTTCTGCTTTATATTAATTAATTTAATTCTTCTATATTTAGCGAGATCATCTACCAGTTTCTAGTTCCGGCCGTGAATGTTGGATTCAGGATAATTTTAGGTTGGTGAATACATTTACAAATAAGTACAACGATTTAAAATAAAATAAACGTGTGTAGAAATTCAAATTTCAGCTAATTGACAACTTGTTTTTCACTTGTTTCAGTGGGAGATTTCCTATCGAATTTGGAGGTAATTTTGATAATTTTGAATCAAGAAAATAGATGTAAAATAAATACCCCAAAATGTGATTTATTTAACAATTTATTTTTTAAATTACTTGTGCTTGTACAATAGATCCAGTCAGCTCAACTCTTCTACATGTGTGTAAGCTAGATACTTTTATGATTAAGTTATTGCATCTGGTTAATTTACATTTTTTGTAAATATTTATGTATGTCATTTAAAATTTGTTGATTTGTGAATTACAAGTTGTAATTGTATCAAATAAATAACGTTAAGATCAATACCAAGCAGTACTAAACCGTTATTTTTCTTAATGTATGGTATCACTGGTTAATACCGCATTTACTCATTTAATACCGCATCGTTTTCGATTCCTACCCCACGGTATTAATAAAGAATACCATGATGCAAAAAAAATCAATACCGCAAGTCACATTTTATACCACGACGGTATAAATGCAGAATAATACCGCTTGGTATTAAATCAATACCAAAACGGTAGAGTCACATATGAATACCGCCTGGTATTGATCTGGTATTGATTTTTCTAAGAGTGTACATACATACCTGTTTGATCCACAAGCATAAAATATTTATATGCATCTTCCCCACTCTTGGAATTTTTTGTAACCATTAAATTAACGGCATGAGGATAATGTAAAAAACTTTCGTGTTAGCGAATATGTAATTAAGGATTCAGTTTGCAAGTCAGCAACATTTTTTTACCTGCATACTTAATTATATTTACATAACTACACGGAACACTATTTCTAACTTTTATACAAGCAGGTAGATATTGTTTCCAGGTTGGAAAGTTTTCCTACTGTTCCATAAGCACTAATCTGTTGCCGTCGAAGAGTGGCCCTAACTGTCTACATACATACTGTAAGGGTGGGATGGGTCAGCCTTTTTGAAATCCCGAATCATGTAACAATGTACACATAGCTGCAAGACCTCATATGCCGTGCTTGTGACCTTTAAAACCTCACAATATGATCACATGATCTCCAAGGTGATAGCATACATAGCTTTTCATGCAAAATCAATTTAAGCTTTAGCAATTACACTTCAATTTTATCAAGTCTATTTTTGACACACAATTGGGCACTATTTTTCAAAAATGATCTGGCCAGTTAAGAAAAATAATTTGCATTCGCATTCCTAATATATTTTAGCAATGTCTCATCCATTTCGCAAGGATCGTGCGAAACATTGCTCTCATCAGTTTTCGGTTGGTTTCTGTAATTTGGCAGGGGTGTCGTAGTCTGTGGTTTTGGGGTGGGTGTGCCCGGTGGGGGAGTGCCTCCAACGCAATGAGGTACATTGTTGGGCCAGTCGCATTGTTCAGTGTTCTGTTTATTTAATCGAAAAATGTCATGTTCATATTCTTATATCTAATATTCATCCAGTTTTGAAAATTTTTACCGGGTTGTAGTACAGCGAAGCGGAGCATTCTATAAGGCACGCACGCCTTCCGGGATCACAAATATAGAAGTAGTGGCAATCGTACGGATGGGCAATTGGTCCTTGGTAACCTTCCGGGCAAATCCAGGTAATTGGGTCCTGAAGTTGGCAAATGTAAAGCAATTAGCGAGTAAAATCTTTAAGGTGGATACATGTTAAGTAATCTAACCTCTGTAGTTGTTGACGCAGGTGTAGTTGTTTTGGGAGTAGTAGTTGGAGTTGTGGTCGTTGGCGTCGTCGTCGTTGGGGTCGTGGTCGTTGGCTTCGTAGTCGTTGTGGTCGTTGGCGTCGTGGTCGTTGGGGTCGTGGTCGTTGGGGTCGAGGTCGTTGGGGTCGTGGTCGTTGACGTCGTGGTCGTTGGCGTCGTCGTCGTTGGAGTGGTCGTTGTGGGCGGTGGCGTCGTGAAAATTACACATGGCGTGCTTCCCTCGTGGTTGCAGACGAGCATCGACTGGTCCCAGACAGTCCCAGGGGAACAACATTGCCCCTGAAAAAAAATTGAAACTCATAATTTGCATAGCCAAGGGACATATGCAATTATGCAAATTAACTAAGTGAAATGCACATACTACCGCCACACCGTTGGAACACTCGAGAAACTTTTTACAGTCGTACGGGTACGGATGGTATGTAGGGAGAGGTTCCCATTTCGGACAGTACGGCTGGTACTGCAAAAATTAAAAAAATTGTGACAAATATTTTTGTAAAAAAAAATTACGAAATTTCTCACTTCATCCTCCACCCTGCCACAGTCAGGGGACTGGGTGACCTGAGCAAAGCTACACGAGGTGCCGTGTACCATTAGAAACAAGGCAATTAAACATTTTAATAACGACATCGTAATGTTGCTAATTTTTATAAGTAGATATTTGGCAATGTTCTTGTTCGAGCTGGATCCTGTACTGATCGTGGGCAATGACTTTGGTCCATTTTATACCCAAATAGTAGGAAACAATGTGACGACGGTGTAACTGGAAAAAATCGGACAGTTCTCCAACTTGTCACTCGTTAATGTGGTGTAAAACGTGTTGACAATTTGCGTCAAGGAAGCTTGGTTCATCATTAATTAATAGACCATGCCGCATATGGAGCTGGGCATTTGGGTGACATTAACATTACAAGATAAGTATGTAGAAATATTAAAGTTGAACAGAGATAAGAGTACGTTATCCTACTGTGCACCCAGTTATGCGGCCACTGATGACGAAATTGTGACGATTGTACCTTAATTCTGATTATTTATGTATGATTGATGGCTATCTTTTACACTTTCAGATTATGCCTGTACGTAGTTACGAGCACGATTGAAGATTTCACTCAGCACGTGTTACATTGTTATTAAATTTTGGGGACATTGCTTTTATTCCTTCATGCATCAAGATCTCTAAAATTCGACAAAAAAACATTTACATCTTAAAGTTGGGTAAAGTTAATATCGACAGAAATTTCGAGTTTGAATTTTTTTAAAGTTTTCGAAATGTGGATGATTACTCATGAGTACAAGTAAATAATCGCCAAAATTTAGCTTTTGTGACACTTTTAACATGTTTTAACTATCTGTAGCTAATGTATTGTTTTTTTCATGAGGGGAGACATTTTTCATGAATTAAATATTTCAATGGTCAAAACGTTTGGAATTGTGAATTTAACTAATTTAAAAAATACCTGAATTTTTCACATGTGTAACAAGAAGTGCTTTTATAATAGCTTTACAAATTAGGCGAAACAATTGTAAAAATTGAAATTAAATTATATTCCTTGTTTATTGTGGTTAAGGTGACTAGGCAGAAAAATTCGTTATGATTATGTGATAACCTTGCTTATCGAGATATGACCACACAGTTACCTATAAGCTGCATGTACTGTGCATGATAACCATATGTACATACGTATGCATGAATTTCTTTTGCAATGCGCAAATGATAAACTATAACGTTCAATTACGAGATTATTAAAGGTACACATTGCTACATATTTAATTTTAGCTAAACGCCTACTTAACTACCCCATAATGATAACGTCGTTGAATTTAATATCTTATCGTAAGGTGATTTTTGATTACACAATTTTACTCCGCTTACAAAATTTTGTAACCATCGTAACTTTCATACCAACTTTACGACACGAATTGCATTCATTTTTCATATTCATATTTCATTCATAATTTAAGGGTATTAGATATCTGTATTTTCTAATTTTTAAATGAAATTGACAAATTCGAATTTACTTCACCCAATTCTTTCCTCGAATTACGAATCATAACAGAATACCATCGGATCCCCGGAATCGACAGAATAAATTTCCGTCTTATTTCCCACCCGGAAAAAGTTCGCTTCGTTACATCCAATCCGAATTTCATGGCGAATTTTTTCCTGCTCGAGTGCGTCCAACTTTGCGAAACTTGCAGAATCAATACGAACATCATGAACAAAACGGAACAAAAAAGAACATAAAGTCCTTCCCGATATAGTGCCATTCACCTGAGTACAAATTTTGGCGTGTTACCTGTATCCCACTCAATTTTAAGGCACCCATAATTCCAACCAGTTGATCCTCGACGGTCGGCTGTTTTAAATAATTCCCCAAATTTGGAAGGGAAAGTGGCTTCAAGCCGGAAATATTAAAATAGAAGAGACCATCCTGTTTTAGGAGGCGGGAAAGGTTTTAGAACACCGTTTTAGTATCGATGACCCGATGGAGTACGAAATTTGAGAAGATTAAGTCCACCTGCCCGGCGTGACGGCCGGGTTAATTCAGGGTCCAGTTGCGCCCACGTCTTGGCACATGAATTTCATTATTTTCCCGGGAGTCGGGTTGCTGCGGGAAATCGATACCAATGTCGACCGTGATGATTAAATGGTTCAGAATTTCAGAGGCTAAGAATCGAGTCATGTTTCCGGAACCATCGTCCAAAATTAGTGATAATTTCCTATACAGATTTATTCCACTGCACACTAGCTACATATTTAATTTCCGCTAAAAGCCTTAATAAAGCCAGTTAATTGAATATCGTATCGTAATTATTTATCTAACGAGGAATAAATCTGGCCCTTAACTAAACTAAAGGCAAGGCTCCTAGGTTTGTATTAGAATAATAATCAGGATTCAAATCTGACAAACTTTTATTCACTTTATTTAGAATAGATCTTCACAAATGCAGTGAGTACAATCTTGAACGCGTTAAGAGTTAAATTATTGAAATTAAAAAAAACTATACCGTCCCCTTTGTAAAAAGGCAGTTCGTGTTGCAAACAGATACTGTACATTATACTGGGTATATGAAATCCTATTCGAGACAAGTAGTCACGATATGCCGATTTAATTTACTAAAGTGCTCGTTTTAGATATACCGTAAAAACTCAAATAGTAGCCCATGATCAAATAGTAACCGTGCCCAAATAGTAGCCCTGCCTTTTCTCGTAATTATATAAATAGTGACCTTGCTCAAATAGTAGCCGTGCCCAAATAGTAGCCCTGCTCAAATAGTAGCCGTGCCCAAATAGTAGCCCTGCTCAAATAGTAGCCCTGCCCAAATAGTAGCCTTATTCGAATTATAGACGTTCGTCAATTTCCAATGTACATACATACAAGCAGACATCTCCTAGCCAGCTCATTTAAGTACTTAAATCACGATTCAATTTAATCTCCGTTATACAAAATCGAATTGAACACGAAACTCGGCTTATCGGAGAAATTATTAAAATTAAGAGCAGGCCTAACCTATAGAATTGTCATCTAATACGAATCTAAGGGAGAATTTGGGGCTGTTATTAAAATTTAATTTTAATTTGATTCAGGAAACAAAATTACAATAGCTGTTTGCTAATACAGTCTGGGAGTTTTGCTAAGTTCCTCCCTATAGAGAGGAAGAAAAGTTCCTCTCTATACGGAGGATATATCTCTATAGGGAGGAAAGTTTTGGACTTCCTCTCTATACGGAGGAACTTTCTGCCAACTTTCTCCCTATAGGGAGGAAGAAATTGGTTTTTGCTCTAGCACAAAAACAATTGATCCAGGCAACTTTTAACCACTCCCAAACGAATCAGAGGCACAATTTACATAAATTTGTGCTGGATGGTCAACTTCTTTGCCGGATAAGGTGTTCAAAATCGAATTTTAAAAACAGCGGGCGGTTCACACCTGACATCGCAGAATCACGTATATCATATATTGAAAATATGTTTTATACCAATTTAGTGTCCAATAAAGTATGAAGTAAATAACACGTCTAAAATTATTTTTTAAGTACTTATCTTTGTTGTGTCCTATTTTTTCCATATTTATGTTGCACAAAAGACTTCGTCATCCATTATTTAACATCAGTTAGAACATTTTGCATTTTCTTGTGGGACCAGTTCACAGTTTTTCGTCGTCAACACGTCGCAATTGTTCTCCTTCAGATAATTTAGTTTCCTTCGACCTGAGTCGCCCCCAACTATAGGTCAAAATAGGTAGGGTACATACATAACCCTGTGTTCGACCATCACCAGTAAGTATTTACATATTACATAATTAATTGTATTTAATCATGGAGTAATTATCATTTTAGATTCATAATGGAACCTAACACTAGCACCGGACATCACGACGACCAAATTTCTAGAGGGGACGGAAATGCTTCCCAAACAGATGACGGCTTTTCCAGCGTGGGGGATAATGACGCTGACGGCGATGTCCAAAGCGTAAGGAAATCTCGTAATTCACACCCATCTGAATGGATTACGGATTCCAAAGCTCGGGGTAATAAGGCGTCCAAGGCCAAAAAAGCAATCGCAGACAAGGTAGTTATTTTCATAGTCGTTCTCACAATGCAATATTTTCATGCAGTATTAGGAAAGCGTGCTTATTTGGGCGTCCAAAATAGGAAAATGTTTAAAAACCGCTTTTCGTTAAATCGGATTTTTAAAAATCGTACGAAACCGGTTTTCGGTTCTGTGCAAAAGCGGTTTTTAAAATGGTTTGAGTATGAATTTGAAAAAAAGTTGTCAGATATAATAACAACGATTTGAATGCAAAATTAAAATTAAATGTACACTTGGGAATAAGGCATAACAATACAATTCTTATCTCAACAATTAGAAAAATTAAATAATGGATCCAAAAGAGTTAGTTTGTATTAAAAACCGGATTGCAAGCGGTTAGCAACCGAATTTTTATAAAACTGGTTTTTGGAAAACTGAAAAATCGGTTTTCCAAAAAAACAGGTTTATTTTTAAAATCGTAAAACCGGTTTTCGATCAAATCCAAACCTGGTTTTTGGTTAAATCGAAATCGGTTTTTATCCGGTTTTATAAAATCCGAGAAACCGATCTTAGATGCCCAGTGCTTATATACGTACATATTTGAATATTTTGTCTTCGTAATTTCAAAGACGCTTCACCTCTAGTTCCATTCTGATATTATCGCCATATAATTTCGATTAATTCCTTCCAGGCAAAGGAGGTAGCCAAAACTTGTGGGTCCCGCATTGTCGTCATACACGAAAATTCCCTTCTGGTCGACACGTATGAAGGAGGAGCCGACCTCCCTGGACAGCCACCGGGTCGAACTATTCGAAAACGCCCACCGTTCGAGCTACCGGAACAAGTTCGTGAGAAAATTAGGACGCAAAATCCGGATGAGGATTTAACCTCGAAAAACCAGTCATTAACTGTAACATCTGCATCCCCACCCATGTCACCTATTTCTTATTCACCCCCCTCGGAACCGGGACCCTCAAACCATGTCACAATTTTTTCAACCAAATATTTGACTCCGTCCAAACCCCCGACGTCTGCAGTAAACTCCGGAAACGATTATTCT